TAGTCATTGACAAACTATTATATTTAATTCATAATTCAAACACGTGATTTATGATAAATTCATTTTAAAATTTTATTAGGAATTACTGAAACTTAAGATACCATTTCATTTACTACTTGGTAAAGCCCAATCCTGTCTTCCTCCATTCATTGCTAAGGAAAGTGTCTCAGTTGTTGTGTGTGACTTCTCTCCATTGAGAGTTCCTCTTGGATGGGTAAAGGAAACTGGGGCTGAACTGGATAAAATTAAAGTACCATTAGTCCAGGTACAGTGTATGTGTTACTGTGATTTGTGTAAGCTATTAAAGTATGTTGTTATTTGTAACTAAAGTTTTTATTAACTACCTAATAGGTGGATGCACACAACATAGTGCCAGTATGGCTGGCATCTGATAAACAGGAATATGCTGCTAGGACCATCCGTAATAAAATACACAAGTTTCTGCCAGAATTCCTAACAGAGTTCCCTCCTGTTACTGTCCATACTCATAACTCTAAGCTAACAATGAAAGTAAGGACCTTATGATATTGGGAGGTGTATGAGTATTGCTTTACTAGTCAACTAATTGGATTAAAGCAAAGGAGAGCCTTGAAATTGATATGACAGTCAGTGAAGTCTCATGGGTTACTCCTGGGACATGTAATACATGTAATACATGTAATCAAAAACAACATTAGATCTACATATATCCATATTAAAGGGGAGGAGTACTATACTCTACCCATTAATCTTAAGGTGGCAAAATGCATGCAATCATATGCATCATTTTCACAAAATTCAGATTCTTATCAATACATGTAATCAAAAACAACATTAGATCTGCATTAATTTATTTAACTTCATTCTGTTCCAGTGTCAACACTATAAAGTAAAGAGACTTCGCTTTCTTTAGGAGCACTATAATATGTCCTTGCATTAGTTGAGGCTATAGTTTCAATAGTATAAACAGGATCAGCCGCATTATTAAAGTTAGCTGATGGCTTTTCTTGTGGGTTTAACTGTGATGGAGCCCCACAGCATTTCAAAAGGCAGATGTGGATAGCTACGGCTATTCCAACAAAAAGACCCCAACTAGGCCCAGTTGATGCATGTAATACAAACAGAAAAAACTCGGTTTCAGGTACTATTGCTCCATAGATCCTTTGAATAGCCGAAGGAAGGAATAATATTATGAATATTATAGGATACAATATTAAAGGGAGGATTTTTTTGAAAGCTTTTTTCCGCCTCTCCACTGGTCTTTGAAGTAAAGGATCACATTCCTCCTGTGTTTTGCTTGAGCTACAGTAAGATCACTACATTATATTACGATTCGAAAAGAAGACACTCCTCCACTATTCATAGAAGTATCTGGAAATGTGAACATAACTTACTCTTTACGGACTGTTTTGATTAATGGTGAATTCCCTGTTCTTTATGAACAGAATGGCACTCAAAGTTTCAAATCCAATGGTAATGGAAATACATCAAATGTTTCAGGTAGTGTGTTAATGATTAATTATAATCAACTTATTATAATTATTGTTACTGTAGGGGCTTCAGCTCTTGAATATTGGTTGTTTTTAACTTTCCTTTGTTCCATGCTAGTTATATTACTAACTTCTTTATAAACTTGTAGTTAAGTAGATGTGAGTTTGGCTATTGCTAGTAATCATTCATTTTTCACACTTTAAAAAAAATAAAATCTATAATTTATTACATAAATTTATATTTATATATTCTGTATTAAGTTCACTTTATTGTGGTCCAGTGTCAGCAAAAAGTAAGGAGACTTCACTTTCTCTGGGAGCATAATATGTCCTTGCATTAGTTGAGGCTATAGTTTCAGTAGTATAGACGGGATCATTGTTTGTCTGATTATTGTTAGCTCCTGATGGCTCATTTTGTGTGTTTAGCTGTAATGGAATCCTACAGCATTTCAAAACACAGATATGTATAGCTATGGCAATTCCAACAAAAAGACCCCAACTAGACCCTGTTGATGCATGTAATACAAACAGGAAAAATCTTGTATCACCAGGTTCTATTACCCCATAGATCCTATGAATAGCTGAAGGAAGGAATAATATTATAAATATTATAGGATACAATATTAGAGGGAGGATTTCTTTGAAAGCCTTTTTCTGCTTCTCAACTTGTCTTTGAAGTAAAGGATCACATTCCTCCTGTGCTTTACTTGAGCTACAGTAAGACTGATACATCAATACACTGACCGTTATAATAATCATCAGCAGATCAAGGAAAAGTAAAAGTAGGCCAGGAATATAAAGGAAAAGGTATTGTTCTGTAAAACCTAATGGTAGTTTTTTATTACAGTCCCAATTCTTTATCCAGCACCATGCACCTGCTATGCCATACAGATTATTAACAAATGGAATCCAAGCAAAGAGCAACGGAATACCAAAAGACGTCAAAATGTACAGTGGTTCTAAACGACGTAAGTCTTTAGAGAATACAGCAAATGCAAAAAGGTGAAAAGTCAGCCAGAAGGTGACAAAAAATTTTGAATTCACAGCAATGGTTAGAAAAAATCCAACAATATCACAGCTAATATTCCAAGCAAGCGTATGGTTTGAGCTGTCATTGAAAGAGATGAAACTAAGCTCTGATGCACAAACAAATGAGAAAAACAGTGTAGAGATTAGCTGATACATGACTAGCCTGTGTGCTAATCTCCTGTACAATTTATAATAGCAAGTGAAGATTAGTGTCACAGTACATATAACTGTAGATAAGCTACCTACTCCTCCAAATATGTACAGCAAGGTGTTCTTTTCAGTTGAGTTCAACTGAGAATGGCAACTGTTACTGCCTGAATCATTTACATTTAGATCTATATCCATCAAGTTAGAACTGGCTGATAGAAACAATAGAATTGTGTACTCATCAAAATAATTTTGCTTGACTCTGCGTACCATATATGGTATCATTAGCAATATTCACACTGCATGCTATGCAGATATATGTATAGACCATAAATATCATTTTGAAGTAAAATTTGGCATTTTTCTAGTGAACAGTTTAAATAAACAATAATATGAAAATAAAGTTAAAAACCTATAATTTTAACACTTGATTTACATAACTAGTAAGTTCATTGGTCTTAAAAGGTGCCATAACTGCCATAACTGACAGTTTCTTTTTCATCTCTTCTATAGCACCATACAAAAATACAAAAGAATATGACTATCAACAACAATCCAATGATGACCATTGCTCCGATAAATGAAGCAGTAGCAGTACAACTATAACCTGGTGACTCACTATCATCACTAGTAATATTAACTAAAACGTCACTGTCATTAGCAGACTGTATCAATACATTAAATGTATTATTATATCCATCAACAGCATCAGAACACGAGCGAAAGTCCCAAAACGAGTAACCACAAGAGCCAATACTGCACACACCATTGCCAGCAGTACAGACCCTATCACTCCTTGATACATCATAGAACACCTGTGATCCTGTGATCACTGTTCCAAACGAATAAACACCAGAGGTCTCATACACAACGTAATAATCATCTTGACGAGTGATATTGAATACTACCAGTATATTAATCACTGACTCATTAGGCTCTAATCTGAGACACTGAGACTGAGCGACAATACTATCATCCTGGTTACAGCGTCCTGTCAGATTAAGTACATGATCTAGCGACTTCTCAGAATAACGTCCAAGATACAATCTAACACAATCATCATTCTTATCATTATAGGAGGAGGAGGAGGCAGAGGAACTGTTAGGTGATGTAATGTGTTCACGTCGCTTCAGTCTCATGTTATAGACCAGCTTTGAGCCAGGGCCTAAATTTATCGGAACACCTCGTCCGTTGTACTCGTACTCATTGCATTGAACTATATAAGGACTAGGTGGACAGTACGGGACAGGAGATAATTCATGTACTGACGTGTTAAGAGGAACATTAGCTGAAACAAGCATAACATTTACAGAACCAGGGAGGTGAACGCAGGTATTCTCAAATGTACCAAGGAGTACCGGATAACTGTTCTTTCCATATATAATAGCACTTGTCATTGTAGAAGAGTTACGGGGGGAGGGTGGACTCCAATGAAATCCAGCAGAAACACCTCCGAGTATCACAGCAATGATTATCATAATAATAATCAGGGCTGTTATTAATGTTATAAAAGAAAGAGAAACATTATAAAAACAGTTACACTTAGAATAATAGAATAAATAAACAGACCATAAAGAGACAAAGGAGGAGGAGGGAGAGGAGGAAATGGAACTATGTTAATGATAATTATTGAACTATCAGTTACTGTGGTCTCTTTGATGGCATTAACATACATGTACATGTACACACATCTCATATAAGTAATATCATCATTATTATACCTATTTTCTTCCAGTGTCTCTTGCAACAAGCTAATAAAAGAATAGTTAAATATGAACAGTGTACATTAATAGACTCACAATCTTCCTCAGAAACAACAAGAGGAGTAATAGAAGAAGTGTCAGGGGCAGCACTATGTACATTATGGTCATCTATTGAAATTACTATCAATCAAAATAAAATTAATCAAGTATAAATTACTTTGAGTTAATGTGACTGCAGAATTTCTATGTTCAATTGTAGGAGGAAGAACTAATAATAAAGAGCAATAACCAGAGGATGCTAGGGGTCTATTATACTATACCTTCAGCATTAATACTAAAATGATCTGAAATAAATTTATTTAACTTTGCCAAGTCACCTACAATCATGTAGTAAATAAATTAATAAAATCTCATTATTACCTTCTTCTGGATGATGACGGCTGACCATAAAAGACATTCTTGCTTTTGATACTAAAATTTTAGATAAAAATCATGCAAGCATAAACCTCTTGATTCAATTACCTTCGTTTAATGAGCTAGGTGTAGCTTCACGATGAGTTGTAATATCGCTTCCAATGGGTGTGACTGACGATGAGAAATCTGTATCAGGAGATTTGCCTAAAATAAAATCAATAAAATGAACTAACATTCAATCCTTACATGTGCCTCCATTCTCTTGCTGTGTACATACATCAAAATAGTTTGGCTGATTGAAGGACTCTGCTAGCTTGTTCAGCTTTGCTACATCTGCTTGCCCATGATCAAATATTAATCCAACAAATTCCAGTGGAGAATGTCTGTCAATGGTTTCATTATTCAAGTAGAGACTAGAGAAAGTCATCATTGCCAATTTGCACCGCTCCTCTCCCAAATGATACAAGAACTTTGCAACCCTTAATCTAAAGTATATCTCGGGATATGATGCACGTAAATCAAAGCCTGGTATCAAGTATGGGCTTAGCCTAGATACCTCTTTCTCATTGCAGTTGAAATAACAAAGAATCGAGTGAATGATGCTAGCACTTTCAGACAAAGTAAACAACAATAAGCGGTCAAAAATTTCGTAAAATGTCTCTGGCTCATTCGAAGTGGGTAAGGGTAAGAGCGTCTTATAGAGTGACAAACAGATCAATTTGACATAAAAATCGAGGAGTGGCGTATCAATTCCAGTACCAATCAAAGAAACGTCTCTTCTGATCGTCTCCTTCATCTCATTTGCCCTCCTCCATACTTCAGGATAAGAGGTTTCCAAAGAAAAGGTCACATCAGCTTTAGATTCTAACTGGTCCACTAACTCTCCTTTCTCCCAGCCCAGAGCAGAGAGGCACCCAAGAATGAAGGCAGAGCATAAAGCAAGAGATTGAGAAGAGTCAGAGGAAGAGTTGAAATGAGAGAAGAGAAGAGAGAGTGAGTCTCCTAGGGTTTGACCTGTCTCGGGTTGTGTAACTGCATTTACGAGCGTAAGAAGACTGTCCTTGTGTACCAGAGAAAGAGAGGATTCGCAGGAAGCTTTAAGAGACTCTAACTTTTCCTCAGTAGTACTGGTTTGGTCTACTACATTCGAGTCTTCGGGCTCACTCATCACCCGAGCAAGTCAGCAAGATCAAGATCATCAAAAATGCTGAATGCAGTGCCAGCAAAAAAAAACAAGGCGTGGTTGGCTTTTACAGCCACGCCTATTTTTGTACAAAAATTAAAAATGGCTGCAGGAAGTCAAGCAGCAGGTGCTGCCAGAGGTGCCGCATTGCAAGAATCTTTGTTGATAGCTGGTTCTTCATTTAACATGAAAAGGTGTCGTTTAATAACTAAACCCACTGCTGGTAAATCAAGCATTGTTAAAGGTCCTGTACTTTATTGGATGTCCAGAGACCAGAGGGTTCAAGGTGAGAAGATCATGATGATGAAGTATTACATAACATCTTGTACGTAGAGTCCAACTTATAGTAAAGGAGCATGCAGTGATCAATTACCATTGCTAGATATATTTAACAAAGTTTTGAAGATATTTCTAACACCAATTTATTTGATTGAAATAAGCATAATTGGTCTTTCACCAATTTTAGCACCTTTTAAAAATCTAAAAATTTTGACTGGAATCATCTTAAATTTGATAAAATACTGTAATAATAATAATAATTTATAATTTTTAATGTGCTTTGTACATAATAATAGATAATTGGGGTCTGGTTTACAGTCAGGAGTTAGCTAATAAGCATGGTGTTCCTCTACTGGTTGCATTCACTCTTGTACCTAAATTCCTTGATGCCACATGGAGACAATATAGCTTCATGATGTCTGGTCTCCAAGAAGTGGAAAAGGTAAAATTTTGTTACAGCATAAGTATTTTAGTAACTCCATTATATGGTACATACTACAAAGTATATCTGTTGTTTACTCCAGTTTAAAATGGACATTATTAATATGCATACAAGGCTTCCCACAGAATTTTGACATCTTCTGCCAAATTTTGAAAGCATTGCTACTATTGTAACACTTGTCAACTCACAAAGCATGCTGTTTAGCTGGCACTTAGTGGAAAACACTGTCAATATAAAAAAGTTTAATTGAGCCAAATTTGGTACAATTTTTTTAGTTATTGACAAACTATATATTTAATTCATAATTCAAACACGTGATTTTATGATAAATCTATTTTAAAATTTTATTAGGAATTACTGAAACTTAAGATACCATTTCATTTACTACTTGGTAAAGCCCAATCCTGTCTTCCTCCATTCATTGCTAAGGAAAGTGTCTCAGTTGTTGTGTGTGACTTCTCTCCATTGAGAGTTTCTCTTGGATGGGTAAAGGAAACTGGGGCTGAACTGGATAAAATTAAAGTACCATTAGTCCAGGTACAGTGTATGTGTCACTGTGATTTGTGTAAGCTATTAAAGTATGTGNTTATTTGTAAGTAATGTTTTTATTAACTACCTGATAGGTGGATGCACACAACATAGTGCCAGTATGGCTGGCATCTGATAAACAGGAATATGCTGCTAGGACTCTCCGTAATAAAATACACAAGTTTCTGCCGGAATTCCTAACAGAGTTTCCTCTTGTTACTCTCCATACTCATAACTCTAAGCTAACAATGAAAGTAAGGACCTTATGACATTGTGAGGTGTATGAGTATTGTTTTACTAGTCAACTAATTGGATTAAAGCAAAGGAGAGCCTTGAAGTTGATATGACAGTCAGTGAAGTCTCATGGGCTACTCCTGGCACTAATGCTGGTCTGAAGGTATTGGATGACTTCTGTACCAAGAGACTCAAGTTCTTTGCTGCGCAACGCAATGACCCCAATAAAGATTCTCTCAGTAACTTGTCTCCTTGGTTTCATTTTGGTATGCTAATACTAGTATTTTCCTACTATTTAAAATTATTTATTTTGTAAAGGTCAAGTTGGGGTACAGAGAGCTATCCTAAAAGTCAAGAGTTATAGCTCAAAGCACTCTGAGAGTGTATCAGCATACATTGAAGAGGCAGTCGTGAGGAGAGAGTTAGCTGATAACTTTTGCTATTATAATCCTCACTATGACTCCATCAGTGGGGCAGCACAATGGGCTCAAGATACACTAAAGTGAGCTAATATTATGTAATAGCATTATTTCACATTATTTCATCATTATTGTGATTTTTTTTCTTTTTCTCCAGAGCTCACAAGAAGGATAAGAGAGAGTACATTTATACTCAGGAACAATTTGAGTCATCATCGACGCATGATCCTCTTTGGAATGCTGCTCAAGTGAGATTTATGCTAGTGCATTCACTGCATTGATTATACATTGTGTACATGTATGTATGCTGCATTCACAATAATAATTATATATTTATTATTTATAATACTGTATAGCTACAAATGGTACAGGAAGGGAAGATGCATGGCTTCCTGAGGATGTATTGGGCTAAGAAGATATTGGAATGGACATCAAGTCCTGAGGAAGGATTAAGGATTGCTATCTATCTCAACGATAAGTATGAGATTGATGGTAGAGACCCTAATGGATATGTTGGTAAGGAAATAATAATAATAATAATAATGTGTATTTTTGAGCAACTTTAAAAATTTGTAAAGAATCCAATTTTGATCGGAATTAGCTCAAACTTTCTACGCAACATAAGAACATGTATACGTATCAGAAAAAATTATAAAAATGAGGAATTCTCTACTTTTCATTTTCGGCAAACTTTAGCCAAAATCCCTGTACTATAGTACAGGGACTTTGGGCAACTTTAAAAATTCTTAAAAATTTAATTTTGATTGGAATCAGCTCAAACTTTCTATGCAACATAAGAACATGTATGCGAAAAAATTATAATAATGAGGAATTTCCTACTTTTCATTTTTGGCAAATTTTGGCCAAATCCCTGTACTACCGTTATAAGGGACTTTGGGCCGATTTGGAGCAACTTTAAAAATTTGTAACAAAATCCAATTTTGATCGGATCAGCTCAAACTTTCTACACAACATGAGTACATTTCTATGCATCAGAAAAAATTTTAATGGAGATTCTCTTTTAGCTATTTGTCAT